AACCAAGTAAACTCAGTTCTGTACACTGTTTATATATAAAAAATAAAATACATGTACTTACTTTACAAAATCAATCAGCAGTGTATTCCTATCAATGCTAAAGCTTAATAACAATACTAGGATTTAATAAAATCATTAGCAGTTTAAATAAGTTAGGCTTAATGAAATGACAATACTTTTATTTCTATGATACAGCTTAATTAGTATAACGAGAGACAATTAATGTTTAATATTGCAACTAATTTAAGTTGCCATTTATATTAAAATAATTTCAAAACTGTTCAGTAACATCTATCAATAGACACAAAAGTATAGAAACAAAATATAACACACATAAATAGACGTAATACAAGAACTAGGAATAAACTGTAATATAAAGATGATACAATATATGATTATAATACTACCACATATGCATTTTATTTCCGTTCATAAAGAATACTACCTAAATTATACAAGAAGCAATAATTACTATTCAACTATCACCAAAAGATTAGAGTACATTCGTAATACTACAAGACATTGAGCTGCTTGGTTCAAAAACATATAAACTATAGAGAAAAAACAAATGTTAACATTATTTTAATGGATATCAAAAAATATATATGCCAAGTCAATTAATTCTCAATTAATCAGTAAGGACTGCATTCCGCGTCAGCATTTAGGTCTTATTTGACACTGATATTAGCCAATATTGGAACTATCAAAAGTATCAAATGTATATCGATCAACACGTAACGGCTCCCATGTGAGTTGTTTAAACAACACCAAGGAGCAGCACGTCACTAAACCGACCGACACTTACAGTTCATTAATAAATATCTATAATCGTGTATAACGCGGGCAACAAACCTCCAATCCTCAGAAAACCTGAGGAGGAGTTGTTACAAATATAGCAGTTACACGTTATAAATTATAGCTATGATCAAAGAATGTATATATAATTAAGTATAACTAGGCATTACTGTACTACACATATATGACAGCAATTATCTAGACAATCATCAATAACAAGTTTAAGTAAAACCTTGGGGTTCATTCATAACATATATATTATTCGCTTGTTACCATACTTAATTCAATGTTTATCAAAATATATATATATGTCCAGTCAAATTAATTTCTCAATTAATCAGTTGAGACTGCATTCCAGCAGCATTCAGGTCTTATTTGACATCGGCATTAGCAAAATAGATATATTAAAAATATATATATATATACATATATCGATCAACACGTAAGGGCTCCCATGCAGGTTGCTTAAAGAGCAACCCCAAGGACCGATACGTTTTTAAATTGACCTACACTTACAGTCCGTTAGTAAATATCTATAATTATGTGTAACGCGAGCAACAAGCCTCCAATCCTCAGAAAACCTGAGGAGGAGTTGCTACAAATATAGCAGTTACACGTTATAAATTATAGCTATAATCAGAAAGTGTGCTTAATATAATTAAGTATAATTAAACATTACTGCACCTCACATATATGGCATCAATTATCCAAAACAATCATTAACAAGTTTAAATAAAACCTTAAGGTTCATTCATAATCATAGATATTATTTGCTTGTTACCATACTGATTTTAGTTATTACCAAACATCTAAATTAGTACTTAGATCTATTTACTAAATTAGTACTTAGATCTATTCACTTAATTATACCTATTACTTAACTTAATATTTATTGTTTACTATCTACTTAATCAACTAATTGCTCCTATTCTATATATGCGCAAACAACTGTAAAGATTTTGTGTAATACTATCAAATAATATTAATTATTTAGTATTTAGTAATTCAAATATGAAACAACCAGCAAATAAGTAACAATAAACTTCACTAATTAGCTATTATTGTTACTGAGAATAGAAAACAATAAGTAAACAATAATTTACATTCAACATTTACAAGAGTATTTTAACTTGTCTTACTTCATTTCATCAATTCCAGTTATTATTATTATATATAATAATTTCACTTCCTTCAGTAAATATTATTCGCTTGTTATTTTAATTATTACCTAGCATCTAAATTAGAACTTAACTATTCACTCAATTATATCTATAATTTACTTACTTAATTGTCTATCATCTACTTAATCAACTAATTACTCCTATTCTATATATACATATACAACTGTAATGTTTTTGTGTAATACAATCGTATAATCTTATTAATCAAGAATAATATCCATTCATATCAAACTATCATAATATCATCCGTATATGTAGTTATACGGGATGAAACTAAGATTACTTAGTCGCTTCAGAAACAATGCCGTTAGATATATAAGAATAAAACAAGACAAGAATTCATTCAATACTTATAACAACCGCTAGCACTATACATTATATGGTGCAGAAATACATTAACACATATGACTGTGTAAACATCCACACATATATATTTTAAATCTTATTAGTTAATCAATATTAATAATTCAAATATAAAGCACCAGTAATTCAGTAACAATAAACTTCACTTAGTTAGTTATTGTTATTAGTGAGAATAGAAAACAAATAAGTAAGCGATAATTTACCTATTCAACACTTACAAGAATATTTTAACTTGTCTTATTTCATTTCCTCCATTCCAATTATTATTATATATAATAGTTTCACTTCCTTCAGTAAATATTATTCGCTTGTTACAGTATCTATTTTAATTATAACTTAACATCTAGATTAGAACTTACTATTCACTCAATTATATCTATTACTTAATATTTATTGTCTATCATCTACTTAGTCAACTAATTGCTCCTATTTTATATATACATATACAACTTTAATGTTTTATTCAATACAATCACATAATCTCGCTAATCAAGAATAATATCCATTTATGTCAAACTATCATTTAACAACATCCGTATATGTAGTTATACGGGGTAAACTTTTTTTTTTTTTTTTTTTTTTTTTTTTTTTTTTTTTTTTTTTTCTTTTTTTTTTTTTTTTTTTTTTTTTTTTTTTTTTTTTTTTTTTTTTTTTTTTTTTTTTTTTTTTTTTTTTTTTTTTTTTTTTTTTTTTTTTTTTTTTTTTTTTTTTTTTTTTTTTCCCCCTTAGTCACTTCAGAAACAAATGTCGCTACATATATAAGAATAAAACAAGACAAGAATTCATTCAGTTCTTGTAACAGCCACTAGCACTATGTATTATATGGTGCAGAAATACATTAACATATATGACTGTGTAAACATCTACACATATATCTTATTAGTTAATTAATATTAATAATTCAAATATAAATCACCAGTAACTCAGAAACAATAAACTTTATAGTTAGCTATTGTTGTTACTAAGAATAGAAAACAAATAAGTAAGCATAGTTTACGTATTCAACACTTACAAGAATATTTTAACTTGTCTTATTTCATTTCCTCAATTCCAGTTATTATTATTATATATAATAATTTCACTTCCTTCAGTAAATATTATACGCTTGTTACCGTATCTATTTTAATCATTACTTAACATCTATATTAGAACTTAACTATTCACTCAATTATATCTATTATTTACTTAATATTTATTGTCTATCATCTACTTAGTCAACTAATTGCTCCTATTCTATATATACATATACAACTTTAATATTTTATGCAATACAAAGCATAATCTTGCTAATCAAGAATAATATCCATTCATGTCAAACTATCATTTAACATCATCCGTATATGTAGTTATACAGGGTGAAACTAATATTTCTTAGTCACTTCAAAAACAAATGTCGTTATATAAGAATAAAACAAGACAAGAATTCATTCAGTTCTTATAACAACCGCTAGCACTATGTATTATATGGTGCAGAAATATATTAACATATATAACTGTGTAAACATCCACACATATATATTTTAAATCTTATTAGTTAATCAATATTAATAATTCAAATATAAAGCACCAGTAATTCAGTAACAATAAACTTCACTTAGTTAGTTATTGTTATTAGTGAGAATAGAAAACAAATAAGTAAGCGATAATTTACATATTCAACATTTACAAGAATATTTTAACTTGTCTTATTTTATTTCCTCAATTCCAATTATTATTATTATATATAATAGTTTCACTTCCTTCAGTAAATATTATTCGCTTGTTACCGTATCGATTTTAATTATTACTTAACATCTAGATTAGAACTTAACTATTCACTCAATTATATCTATTATTTACTTAACATTTATTATCTATCATCTACTTAATCAACTAATTGCTCCTATTCTATATATGCATATACAATTGTAATGTTTTGTGTAATACAATCGCATAATCTTACTAATCAAGAATAATATCCATTCATGTCAAACTATCATTTAACATCATCCGTATATATAGTTATACGGGGTGAACTAAGATTTCTTAGTCACTTCAGAAACAAATGTCGTTAGATATATAAGAATAAAACAAGACAGAATTCATTCAGTTCTTATAATAACCGCTAGCACTATATTATATGGTGCAGAAATACAATAACATATATAACTGTGTAATTATCCACACATATATATTTAAATCCTATTAGTTAATCAATATCAATAATTCAAATATAAAGCACCAGAAATTCAGTAACAATAAACTTCACTTAGTTAGCTATTGTTGTTACTGAAAATAGAAAAACAAATAAGTAAGTAATATTTCATGTATACAACATTTACAAGAATAGAATATTAAATCTGTCTTACTTCATCTTCCTTCAGTATACTTCCTACAATATTAAATTGCTTTACTTAATTATACGCTTCAACATATACAATGAAATGTAAAGCTTCCTTAATCGCATAATATATATACGTATATATATTTATTCAGCTTATCCTCTGTCAATCCCAATTATTATTATGTATGGTTTACTTCTTTAATATTTAATTCAGTCAAATATTCACTTCATAGTATTCCATGAAATGCAAAACTATATCCAATATACTGATATATATACATATACACACATTTGTTTATAATCTTCTATTTATCTAACTTAGTTTAAGTCAGCTAATATTTTTTTTTTTTTCAGTCGAAAATCTTTACTCAGTAACACTATTCTCATTGAGACAAAAGATGACAATAAGCATCAGTCATCTCTGTCTATTATATAGAGTTTTGGTTGAACCAACACAATAACCTCAATTCTAGTTATGATTTAGTAATATAGTAATATTAATTCAATAATAGTAAGTCAGCAGTAATGCAACTTTAACAATTCAGTTCCGTTCCAATTACTGAATATAGAAAGTAAGTAATGGTTTACAAACAATATTCCATTTATCCTGTTAACCAGAATCAAGTTATTACTAATATTATAATTATTTAATCTATTTTAATTTATTCTAGTCTTAATAACTATTTATCTACGTTGATTTAAGTCAGTTATTATTCCATCATTCAAAAAGCATCATCCAGCCGCACATTGCCATTAAACAATGACAGGTAAGTATCAATCAATACCATATTCATTGTTTCATAACATATAAGATCTATTAATTAGAATCTTAAATGTTATCTAACACCTATTTTACAATGATTTCAGTCTTGTTTGTGATTTAATATAATTATCACACAATCACTACTCCAATATACTGTGCAACTACAATACAACCATGATACATTATTCACTATCTTATACTTATATATAGATAGTTTCTATCATTTTGCTTTGTCTAACTTTGCTGCTATTATTGGGCAAATTTTCTCATAATTGTCCCAGATGACGTTAATACAACAAAAGTAAGTATCAGATCTCAAATATATCTATAGATTTCTCTTATGAATTAAATATGTAATAATTCTATGCACATTTGATGGTTTGCGTCATTTACAATTAATTTTTCCTCTTTTATAATATCTGTTTAATTAATACAAATAAGAATTGTTCAAAAATTATCCCTATCAATTCATTTAATACTATCCATTAGTTCAAACAATTGTGTTTATATAAATGTATGACGAAAAACACATCATATGTTATTGCACCAAAATAAACAAGCAGTAGTATTATTAACAGTAACAATAATGATGCAGCGGTTATAATACAGTCTAGTATTTAAAGTCCATCATACTATTATTCACAACTAAAGTTTTAACGCACTTTATTATCTATCCTTAATGACAAGGATAAGTACGCAGTCGTAGAGTTCTTCTTATTATCATATATATTTATCTGTGATATCCTGTGTCACTTAAAATTATCCATTTAGCAGCCAATTTTGATGCACTTCTTTATATTTATCCTTTGGCACAAGGATAAATACACCTTAATCCCAGTTGTGTAGAGATCTTCTTATTATCATACGCATTTATGCATATGCATTTATCTGTGATCCTGTGTCATTTATAATCTGAAATATATTGATAAAAAGTCAGTAAATGATCACAATATGCATCATTCTCCTGAATAAAGTCAATAATATTCAACGTTGTAATAATACTGATTTAATATTACTTTTATTAATGTATGTATAATTAAATTAAGAAAAAACTTTAATAACTGTCACTATCAGATCAATGGAATCAGTCAATCTTAATGTATTTCCTTATACTTGTCACTTGATGACATTAATACAACAAAAATAAATATCGAGTCCAGTCGTATCAGCCAGTTATGATGCACTTTCTTATTTATCCTTTATGACAAGGATAAGTACGCACCAATCCCATTCATAGAATTCTTCTTATTATTATCATATGCATTTATCTACAATATCCTGTGTCACTCATAATCACTTAGCAGCCAATTTAATGCACTTCCTTATATTTATCCTTTAACGATGACCATGTTATAAGAATAAGAACGCATTAATTCCAGTTGCGTAGAGTTCTTCTTATTATCATATGCATGTATGCATATGCATCTATCTGTGATATCCTGTGTCACTTGTAATCTGAAATATATTGATAAAAAAGTCAGTAATTGATCACATCATGTATTCATCCTCTTGAATAAAGTCAATGACAATCAGCGTTGCAATAACACTGATTTAATAGTTCTTCCTTTCTTAATGTATGTATGATTAAATTAAGAAAACTTTATAACTATCACTATCAGTTCAATTGAATAACCATTCGCTTCAGTTAATCATTCACATAGAGACATTTATTATTAATGTTACATAAGTGTAAACAACATAAATGCCTCTCGAAGCACAAAATTATAGTATATCATTTAGCTAGTACAATTATTGCAAATATAAGTAAACGAAAATGTTTAAGAGCATTCACAGAGACCCATTGCACTAAAATTTAATAACTGTGTATAATAACAACAGCTACAGGTAGCAAGGTAGCAGTCTTATAGGTTATATATATAACAATTTATTATATAACCTATATAACCTATTTAGATTATATAATCTAATTTATGTATTATCTTCTCAGATGATAATTAAAGTACATCCAAATACCTTTAATCAGTTTTAGTTAATTAATATCCAATGTGTGTCAAGTAAGTACTATGCATCCTCATTACCTGACCAAATATTCCAATTATCACGTAGTTTCTTCAATAATCAGAGCACCGTTACATAGTAATGATTCTGATACAACGTTCATTACAATTCCAGAGCACTTAATCACTTAATTAATTCACAATTATACAATAAACTGTATGTATTTCTCACTTAAAGAAGAACACCAAACTAGAGAGTTTCCCTAGGGTGAATTTTACGTGTGGCTCAACTGCAGTAACCGCGACACGAGAGACATAGTTTCAGCTGTCAAGCCGCTCCCAATCATATATCAGGTGTTTAATTAACACAGATTAAATAATAAATCACCTAATTGTCAATTGCAAACCACTTATACATTATTCACAATGTTAATAATAATGTATACATATATATTTATATCATTGACATTAAAATTTATCAAGTCTTGTATATTTTTATGTAAGTCAAGTAGTACTCGAATAAGACACCTTATTATACCCGTTATACAGCCGAGTAACCTTAAATAGCTCACAATGAAAAATGTCACTGAAACAGTGTATTACCAGTGTCTCATGTTCCAAACCAAATAAACTATAGACCAATATAAATCAATTAACAAACGTTAAAAGATAATGCCTAAAGTTATTATAACTGAGTTATTTAAGACAAATTAATATTAATTTCATATTAATCTTGAATCTATATTATACACGCACTCATATAATGATACCGAGTACATATATACATATGCATACACTTCAAATACTAAATGTCCACTGTGATTACATTATAATTATAATTATAATTATAATAATACTTCAGTTAAATTGCATAATTATAATACACAAAAATATAGTCAGTATTTCTTCATAATCACATATTATATAATATGAATATATTAATTATCCAATTGTAATTGGTCTTATGACCACAGTCAGTAAGTTGTATTATATATGAGAATAAAATAATTCTCTATATATTTATTATTTGATTAAGAAACTTATAGTCCTATTTAGCTATTAATAATTAATTTAGGAGTATATAAGTCTTATTATTATTGTTTACTATAGATGTTAAATGAACTTTCCAGTAACAATTACAGAAGACAGAACAGTCAAGTACCAATAACTCTTCAATATTCTTCCAAAATAATGAGCAATTAAATTGTTAATTTGATAACACTAATAACATCACTATCATTATATTATATTACATCACCCAAATTTCTCCATCTGGTAGTTATTGTCTCATGTCATCTATTGCTAAATCAAAATTCCGCGCTGAGAAGATTGCAGCCAATAAGAAGACGCCATCAAAATGCCAGCGAGGCAGTAGTAAGTAATGCCAACCCACAACTGAGCACGCGAGCGCACTTTTAGCAGACGACACACTCCTTTTCTTGAAATCTATTTAGCAAGCTAATCGTACATAAACTTGTCTAAATCACCCATATGTATCTTAAGAAAGTCATTCTAATAAGACTGAAACTGCGCACAGCCCTATTTATAATCCAAAAGGTGATTAAATTGAAGTATAATTTTTAACGATTTCATATTTCCGCGCCAGAAATATTGCGGCCAATAAGAGAGCGCCACCAAGGTATCAGCAAGACATCACTCAATAATGCCAACCCATTATTGAGCACGCGAGCGCATTTTAAGCAGACGACACTCCAAATTTAATAATCCTTGTTATAAACTAATTATTTAGTGAAACTAATAAATTTCCACTTAGATCACTTATAAAAATGTTAATAAAGAACTGAAACTGCGCACAGCCCTAGGAAAAATCTGAATAATGAGAAAAATAGCGTCAAATTTATGCCATAAGAGCAACAAGGATAGCACTATGACAAAACTTTAAAGTCTAATTAATAATATAATTAGAGGTCTTGGAATATTTTCCAATCCCATATTATCTTTTAAGTAATATATTATTCACTATAAAAATACTTAAATATTTCATAAAAATGTATTTATCGTATATCTCGACGTTTTAGCCTTCTTCATTGGTTAGAGAGAGACAGCACTATGTAATAACTTTAAACACTTATATTATTAATATGAAATCACACTCACTGTTCAAAACTTGTTGAGAGCAATATAACAATATAAGCTTTAATCCAGCAACATTTCAGCTATGTTTTAAAACATTTAAAGCACTTTTATTATTGAATCAAAAACTGTTAGAAGGTTACGTTGTCATAAGGCCACATTTAATCACTTATTATTAACAAAGTAGATCTTTTACAGTAAAACCCTCACTTGCCAGCAAACATTATCTTATAAACTTTATCCTCAGATAATATTTATTATTCACAATTAATTTTTAGACAGTATATAAGACATATATGTCAAGACACTATAGAGAGCCGATCCTCTTACCACAGTGGTACACAACGAACCAACCTAACCTAACCTAACCTAACCTAACCTAACCTAACCTAACCTAACCTAACCTAAACCTAACCTAACCTCCTAACCCCTGAGGGAGGGTCAGGAGGCTTTGTGGTGGATTCCCGCCCGTAGTATCCCGAGGGACTATCGGGCGGGGGACCGACCTAAAACCTGACTGAAGCCCCTGGTCGTATGGGTACTGTCCACCGCGGAACCGCGTTTAGCATAACTTCACGGTGGACACCCGACCGGCGTCCTTAAGGTAGGACACATCCCCCGAGAGGATACTACAGGTATCCCCCCGGAGAGGACATCCCTTGCCCCGAAAGGGCATCGGAGGGAGCCGGGCTACTAGCTCCCCCCGGACTTCCCTGGGTCGACGTGCAATGGGAGCAGGGCCCCCACCCTTCTCCCTGCCAAACCCGGTAGTGAGACGGCCGCAGCCGCCCACCCCACATTTAAGACGCCACAGGACGTCACCAACTATACGTGGACAAACATATACACGTCCACAACATAAACCAAGTAAGGGCCGCAGGCCCAGCCCTCTAGGAGCCAACATTGAGGCACTATTGCCGACCACAATAAAGGTGGGAGGGTTGTTACCCCACCTATGAACGAAGTACAAAACAAAACAAAGACTTACATAAACTTGGCGCGGGTGAAGAGGCCGCAGAGTCACCTTTCGGCAGCCTCCCCGACACTCAACACCCATCGCCGCTACCTAATAAACATAAAACTTGGCGGAGCAGGGAGACCACGGAGTCACCTTTCGGCAACCTCCCCGGAACCCCCCGCATCCACCGCTACACCCTACGACAATGGACGAAAAACAACACTAAACATCAGGGGCAGAACTGCAACCCGGCACAGGGGAGCCACCTCTCGGCAACCCCCCCCCGGCGCAGACCGCATTCCACCCTCACCCGCTCCAAGCTCACAGGAGCCCCCCCAGCGGGAGACCCCGGAGCCCGCACGCGCTCCACAACCGGAACATCTATCGGGGCAACCTCAATCTCCATGGTTCGTCCCCCATCGGGACGACCCGGAGCCCGGCGCCTACCGTCCACCTCGGAAACTGGAGACCCAAAGAGACACCCCGAGCCCCCAGGGAATGAGTCGCCAACACCCCCCTGTCCGAACAAACCGGACAACGGGGCGTGGCACTACAAGACGCCGCGCGATGCCCCGACACGCCACAACGGTAGCAGCGGTCGGAGCGATCCGTACCCCCCGAGCAACGGTGTCGCGTATGCCCCACCTCGAGGCAACGGTAGCATCGAAGGGGGCGAGCGCTAAGCAGCTCCACCCCCAACACTCCCCACCCCACCTTGATCCTCCCCGCGGACACAGCTCTACGCGCCGCTGCCACCGGGCAGCGCACCCACACGGTGCTCCAGGGAGAGCCCGGGGAGTCCGAATCGCTCCGATCCGAACATCCCCGACCGAGCATCCCCCCAAAGCCACCAGGGCATCGCGAATCTCATCGCGAGTGGCGATTCCCTCCCCCATAGTCCCACGGATCCGAAGATCCATGGTTTTCTGAGGGCGGGATACCACCACATCTTCGCGATCGGCAAAGACACCGCGAATACGATCCGCCAAGAGGTCCGCCTTCTCACCGGTGTTTCCACCAGGGATCTGCAAAAGCAGGCCCCCAGTGGCGGTGTATCTGAGCTTAAGTGGAGGAACACCAAGCTCCTCCAGGCTAATACTCCCCTTGGCCTCACGCAATATCTCCGCGTATGACCTCCGATCGCCGACAGAGGTCACATGAACCGCCGTTGAATTCGGCTGCCGAAATACTCGGTTCAGCCTCCTTCTCCTCTTCTGCGCAACCAACCTTGGGCGCGGAGCCCTGCTAAACCCTCCCGGGACCCCAAGCCCCCAATCCCCCCAGCGACCGAATCAGCCACCGAAGGGAGCGAGGACCCAGGCCCCCGGAAAGAAACCACCTTTTTCGCGCCGCGACCCCGCCTTCCACGCACAGGCGTAGAAAGGACAGGGGAAACCTCCCCGACCAGGGGAGCAGGGGCAGACGATCCCACCCCCTCACCCCGGGAAACCAAGGAGGACCTGAGGGACTCAACAGCCCTCCTCAGATCCTCAACCGCCCCAGTCACGCGCCTCTCAATGAGGAGATCCACCCGCGCTAAAAGCTGCTGGTGTGGATCCCCCCCCAAAGCAGCCACAGATGAGGACTCAAACGGAGTCCTCCGCACCTCAGAAGTGGTCTCCTTGCCAGGAAACTCTAGCTCAGAGACCACCTCTCTGTCTCGCCTCCGCCGCGATCTCTTCTTCACGGGAGGCGCCTCCTTCTCCCCTGAAGATGGAGGAAGGGGAGCCACCGCACGCTTCATCGCCTCCAATTCTTCGCGCAGCTCCCTGTTGGAAGCCTCCAACACGCTAACGCGCTTTTTGAGCTCGCGATTTTCCTCCGCATAGTCCCGGCAGCTGTCCGCCAGGACCGAGTCCCGTCCGAGAACCCTACCGGGCTGAGAGAAACTCAGGCTCACGACACGCCAAGCGCGCCATCCAACCCCCTAAGGGAGGTAGAGGCAGCGCCCAACGCGTCTTCACCCATGGTGACCTCAAGGGCCTCCTCCTCGCTGTCGCCACGCAGCCTCTCCGGAGAGGGAGGCCGACAGTTCTTCCGGACTCATCAGGGACACATACGTGTGCCCACAAAACCGGTCGCACCCTTCGCACACTTTGAAAGTATCTTTCGGCATATCGGGACAACCTATGGTATATCCCGAGATGCCGAAACCACGCACCTTCTCGTTCCGAAGAACCCGACGAATCCTCAGCGCAAGGTCCCTCGGGTCAACACCTATCGCGGTCCTCCCACAAGATGGCCAGCTTAATAAGCCGGTTCTCCACCTCGTCCTCCTGCACACACCGGCGATGTCGCTCTCCAGTCCGCGGACCCAGCCGGCAAATCTGCGGACGACCTGTCGTCTGATGACGACGAGGAGGGAGCCAGGCCTACACCCCCCCCACGCCGGTTCCTGGTATCCGAACCCAGGACATTCGCTTTCTTTCTTAACTCCTCATCTGTAAAAGAAAATTGGTTTTTTCTGTCGGGGTTTTCCTTCCCCTTAGGAGGTTGCCTTACTCAGCTAACGGGGCCTCCCCCCCGGGTGTTATCTTCGGTGTTTTCCTTCACCTAGTGCAGTGGACAAGTCCTTTTTAGGGCCTGCACGCCCATCACACCCCATTCATCCATCACCACACACTCCAGCTCGGGTACCTCGGGATTGCGACACCCGTACACTACAGGGATGAGTCTGTAGTGCCCCTGAGGGAAAAACCTAACCTAACCTAACCTTTTTTTTTTTTTTTTTTTTTTTTATAGTCAGGAAATTTGCCTAAACCAAACTTCGCCGTCCTGACCCCTGAGGGAGGGTCGGGAGGCTTTG